AATTTCAGTTTTTGAAAAAAAATACAATCTCAATAATTATTTAATGCAAATAAATATTTTTTTCATAATACTAAAGTAACAGATTATTTGAATCAAATAAATTTTTTTTCAGTGTATAAATCGGATCTATTTTCATCTGGAAAAAAAAAATTAATTTGATTCTAATACTCGATTACTTGACTATTATCAAATAAATATTTACTTGAATCAAATAATTTTTATTTGAATTAAATATTTAAACCAATAATTTTTGTATTTGAAACAAATACCATTTCAAATAATAATTATTTGATACAAATAAATATTTAATTGATAACAGTAAAGTAACAGATTATTTGAATCAAATAAAAATTTTTGTTTTCTGTTTAGAAAGGAAATAAATCAAAAACAAATACAGAAAAAAAGGAGGCAATAAAAAGAATTAATTAAAATTTGTTAAGACTTGTATAAATAATCATTAGTCAGGAGTAAAAATCAGTATATAATATGATAATACATGGAAATTGTAAAATAATTTTTTTTTTTTTTCTAAAGATGAAGACTTAAGATGTAATTCGAGGTGCCATAAGAAGTGCTCGTTCTCGGGAGGTCTGACATTATTCGTGATCCCAACTTGGTGAGGATTCTTAGAAATTTTGTGTCCCAGTGGAAGAATGTGCTCTCGCGGTGAGCTATAAGGGTTCTTTCGGTTAGGTTACCTACGCAGCTAAATTTGAGATGTGCATTTCTCTCTTTCTCTCTCTCTCTCTCTCTCTCTCTCTCTAACACAAGGATGTGATAGTATTGGATTTTATATAGAAATATATTGGTGTGTTGCAACACACACACACACATATTATGCCCAAGTTTAAAGATCGCATACCACGCTATCAAACGTCACGTCGTATCGTCCAAATTAAATATTTTACGATTTTATGACACTGAATTTTTGTCCTGAACATAAAGACCGGTCTTCTTTTTCAAATATAATAAGATTTTAATAAATTAATTCTCGGAAAATTTGAACCAACTTCTCGAAAAGAAATTCAATTTTTTGAAATAGAAAAAAAAATAGTACACTGAAAAAAAATGTATTTGATTCAAATAATCTGTTACTTGACTATTATCAAGTAAATATTTAATTAAATCAAATAATTTTTATTTCAATTAAATAAATTTTATTTGAATCAATAATAATTTTTGTATTTGAAACAAATACTATTTTAATTGACTCAAATAATAATTATTGATACTAATAATAATTATTTGATACAAATAAATATTTATTTGATAATAATCAAGTATAACCGATTATTTGAATCAAATAAATTTTTTTTCTCAATATACTGAATCAAGGAAACTAATTAACTTATTCTTCACCAAGAAAATTTACTTTAAACTAGTAAAATTTTCTTGAATCAATTATACACGGAAAAAAAAATTTATTTGATTCAAATACTCCATTACTTGACTATTATCAAAAAAGTTATTTACTTGAACCAAATAATTTTTATTTGAATTAAATATATGAACCAATAATTTCTGTATTTTAAACAAATACCATTTCAAATAATAATTATTTGATACAAATAAATATTTATTTGATAATAGTCAAGTAATCGAGTATTTGAATCAAATAAATTTTTTTTTTTCAGTGTAAATAGATCTGATTTATACACTGAAAAAAAAATTTATTTGATTCAAATAATCTGTTACTTGACTATTATCAAGTAAATATTTACTTAAATCAAATAATTTTTATTTCAATTAAATAAATTTTTTTTGAATCAATAATAATTTTTGTATTTGAAACAAATACTATTTTTATTGACTCAAATAATAATTATTTGATACAAATAAATATTTATTTGATAATAATCAAGTAACTGATTATTTGAATCAAATAAATTTTTTTTCAATATATTGAATCAAGGAAATTAATTTACTTATTCTTTACCAAGAAAATTTACTTTAAACTAGTAAAATTTTCTTGAATCAATTATATACACGGAAAGAAAAATTTATTTGATTTAAATACTCGATTACTTGTCTATTATCAAATAAATATTTACTTGAACTAAATAATTTTTATTGGAATTAAATATATGAACCAATAATTTCTGTATTTTAAACAAATAACATTTCAAATAATAATTATTTGATACAAATAAATATTTATTTGATAATAATCAAGTATAACCGATTATTTGAACCAAATAAATTTTTTTTCTCAATATATTGAATCAAGGAAACTAATTTACTTATTTTTCACCAAGAAAATTTACTTGAAACTAGTAAACTTTTCTTGAATCAATTATATACATGGAAAAAAAAATTTATTTGATTCAAATACTCCATTATTTGACTTTTATCAAAAAGTTATTTACTTGAACCAAATAATTTTTATTTGAATTATATATTTGAACCAATAATTTCTGTATTTTAAACAAATACCATTTCAAATAATAATTATTTGATACAAATAAATATTTTTTTGATAATAGTCAAGTAATCTAGTATTTAAATCAAATAAATTTTTTTTTTCAGTGTAGTTTTCTTGATTCAATACTATTTTTGGAGATAAAAAAAAATTGAAAGAAAATATCAATGAACAATTTCTTACAATAATGAAAAATAACCGATTCGTATCTGGCATTGGTAATTTAAAGAAGTCAGGTTATAAAAATATGAATCTAAAAAATACAAAAGAATAAAGCAAGAGTGAAAGGAACAAAAGATATATAGAATATGATTTTTAGTAAAGTGACCTTGATGGATGAATCTAAACGACTCTTTATTTTTTTTACTTATACTCTAATTCTATTTTTTGAAAATAATTTTTCTTCTCCTAATTAATCACCATCTTATATTAAACCGGAAATAAAATATTTCGAGAAATTAAAAAATAAAAAATAAAATTATAGAAGGGTCAGAAAACGAACATTTGCGTGACCTGCCATATACTGGGACTTGTCAAGATACTGATGATACTGATGTGCATCGCGTTCACCAGATATTTTTTTTTTTTTTTTTTTTTTGACTGACTTTATTTTTTTTTTTTTTTCTGATTCCAATGCAGCCTTGGGGTCCTTTTGCCAATGCGCGTGCGCGAAACGCGGCTACAAATGAAGATTTATAGAAGATCCTGCCGAGCAACCAGCAAGTCTGTATATGCCTGGCACGCGATGTGTAAAAAGAATTGAAAGAAAAATGATTTGATTTTATTGAGCGACTTGTAAAAAAAGGAATGATTTATGGTGACTTATTTAAATCTCATAAGCTCTGAATTTATATGTCGTCAGTTTATGAAAAGGATTTAGGCTTTCGGAAATTGCTGCAGTTTATATATATATACGTTTGTAATTAATGGAATATAAAACAAACAATTTAAATTATAATATTTTATTTTTAAATTCAAAATAAATTTTATTTATTTTAAATAAAATTTTATTTGACTCAAATATATATATTGTCGAATAAAATTTTTTATTTAAAAGAAAAAAAATCTAGTTTGTACTGAGACAAATATACGTTTATTTAACTCAAATATATTATATTGCAAATAAAACATTTCTCTGTGTGTGAAATTAGTTTGTAAAAGTTTCTTTTTGCAAAAAGTTATATTAAAAAATCTTTTGTTGAGAAGCGATCAATATATTATAGAAAGTGGACGAAGAAGACAAAACAGAGAAGATCTACAATTCTACCGCTCAGGTTATTGCAACCGCAAACTAAGCACGCGCTGATTAATGATTAGTTGCCCCGTTATCTCGGGAGCGACGTACCGTATACCTCAATATTGCTCAATAAAACAGTTTTCGTTATAAAAAAAAAAAAAAAAAACTCATAAACGGTTCATATAATATTTAAAAATATTTGTTTTGAAAAAACAATTTAAAAAATACAAGATTTTTTTTTCCTTTTACTATAATGCAATTTAGCAGCCAAAAAGAAGATAAAAATTATTGCATTCATACACTCAGAGAAATGGTATATTTGTCTCCGAGCCTACTAACTCAATTATATTTGTTGCAAATATATTTCATTTCATTGAAATAAAAAATTTATTTGAGGCAAAGAAAAATTTATTTCTGACAAATAAAATTTTTATTTACGCCAAATAAATAAATTAGTAGGCTCTGAGACAAATATACGTTTATTTAACTCAAATATATTTTATTTGGTTCAAATAAATCATTTCTCTGCGGGTGTAGAAATAAATGAAGTCAATTAAATATCTGTTGAAATAGCTATTATAACGATAAAAAGGTGAAAGACTTCTTGAATACATAAAGATTGATCATTAGTTATCTAAATAGGTGTGAAATTGTTAAAAGCCACTCATTATATTATCTAACTTTTCAGATATATTCTAAACGATACTATATAATTGGAATCAGCAATTATAATCGATTGATTTCGAATTAAGAAAAAAAATTTGAATACAAAAGGAATACTCATAAAAAAAAAAAATTCAATTGTTTCTAATCAAGGGGGGAAAAAATTGCAAATTCATAGCAATTTTAAATTCCCACGAGTTTTTTTTTTTTTTGAATAAAATATATATATGTATTTTCTAAAGAAATGATCCTTAAGAAGAAACACTTTCGTTCTTATAAACACCGATAAATGATGTTCATGGAAAATATTATTATATCGCCAATAAAGGACCAGAATTCTTTGAACAGATTGAGTTATAACAAGTTTTTTTTCGGACCGTAATTGGTAAATATACCTGAGTCCAATTATTTTTTAGATATATATATTTCTTACAATGTAGAGCAACGAAATTTGAATTTAATTATTAAATTGGAATTCCAATTTACAACACGCTTTATATACATTGTTAAAAATTTCAAGAAAAAAATTAAATAAAATGTGCACTATTTTTTAAAAATCAAATTCCAAAAAAAAAATTGTACTATTTTACATAAATATTTTGCAACTTTAATAAAAAAAAAAAAATTGTAACTAGATTGAAGCAGATTAATTAACTGGTTGTTTTTTTTTTTTGCTTTTAGAATTTTTATCGACGCATCTGATCAAGAGTGTGTTATCAATTTCAGCAATCATTAAAAGAGCTCTCTGATCCTTTTTCTATTTTTCTTTACTTCCTCTTGTGCATGCACGTGGGCGAACTTCGTGCCAAGGCTCCGCGAGGGAAACTGGATTAAGGAACGCAAGACTCGGACCAATTTTATATATATATATATATATATGTATCACATAAAAAAAACAATTTTTGTTAAAAGAAATATATTTTCTTGTTTTTAAAAAAAAATATAGTTTTCGATTAAAAAGATTTTTTGATTAATTGTAATCAATCCGAAAAAAAAATTAACTGGATTATTAAAATATTTTAAACTAATTTTCAAATATTTTTTTTGCAACTAAACCAAATTAATCTATGAGAAATCACTTGGAAGAGATGTTCGAGGATAGATTTCACTACAGTAAGAAAAAAAAAAAAATAAAGCGAAAGATGAAGATCACTCAGTCGTTCACGAAACATTAGATCATGCAACTATATGGTGCAACAGATGCAACTACCGTGAGCGATTAACGCCCTTGCATATATATATATATATATATATATATATATATATATATATATATATATATATATATATACGAGACTTTCTAATATCTTTTCGATCCTAAAAACGCAGTATATACAGTAATTTGTAAATACAATATTATAGAAATAATAATTTATTTTTTTTTTCGTAAAAATTTTCTTACTAAATTTTAACTCATTTTTCGTTAAAATTTAAATTAAAATTATTATTTATATATATAATATTGTAGAAAAAAAAAGAAAAGGTTTATCACGAAATGGCTACATACAAACGAAGAAGTGCACGCGAGAGTTGTCCGGGAGTAAAATCAGTGGCATCGTTTTGTCACACTGCAATTAATTGCGACCGTCGCCGAATTAACAACTTTAATTACTTTCTTGCGTCCAACACATATACGTCAATGTGAGTTATTCTCTCTTTTACATATATGCAAATGAAACCCTTGCTGCCAATTCAAATGTTATAAAGTATATATATATATATATATATATAAGAAATAAATTATTTATATATCATTTTAAAAACAAACACAATAACTATAACTTTGAATCAAATTTTAAATTCAATAATAATTATTATTATATTACTACATTAATATATCTTTCTATATTATAAAAAGATTTCGCCGCAGTCGCCACTGTTTCATAAAATTTGGACCTAGGAGGGGGGAGGAGTCGCCCCCTCCTAAATTTTGAGGTTATGTTCGTTTCTAGACTCTGAATATAGCCGCAAGTCCCCCCTCTCTCCTCTGATTTCCCCTCCTCCGCCAAAATGGCCTAAATTTTGAGGTTATGTTCGTTTCAAGACTCTGCATATAGCCGCAAGTCCCCACCCCTCCCCCGCCAGAAATGACCTAAATTTTGAGGTTTAGTTCGTTTCAAGGCTCTGAATATAGCCGCAAGTCCCCCCTCCCTTCTCTCATTTCCCCTCCTCCGCCAAAAATGACCTAAATTTTTGAGGTTATGTTTGTTTCTTTGTCTTTTTGCGCCAAATTTTGGCATAAATTTTCCGGTTATGTTTGTTTCTTGGTAGTTTCCTGACAAAATAACTTAATCATAAAATTTAGTTCAATTTCGGCGGAAAATCCACCTCAACTTCAACGTAAGGAAGGAGGGGGGGAGGGGTTTGCGACTATATTCACAGTCTTGAAACGAACATAACCTTTAAATTCAGATCATTTTTTGGCAGGAAATCTACCTTTACTTGCGGGGCTATATTGAAAGTCTTGAAATGAACATAACCTCATAATTTATGTCATTTTTGGCGGGAAATACGGAAAGAGATGACGGGAAGGGAGAACGACTTGCTGCTCTATTCAGAGTCTTGAAACAAATATAACATCAGAATTTAGGTCACTTTTGTCGGGAAATACGAAGAGAGGGGAGGACTTTCGGCCCTATTCAGTTTTGAAACGAACATAACCTCATAATTTATGTCATTTTTGGCGGGAAATACGGAAAGAGATGACGGGAAGGGAGAACGACTTGCTGCTCTATTCAGAGTCTTGAAACAAATATAACATCAGAATTTAGGTCACTTTTGGCGGGAAGTACGAAGAGAGGGGAGGACTTTCGGCCCTATTCAGTTTTGAAACGAACATAACCTCAAAATTTATGTCATTTTTGGTGGGAAATACGGAGAGGGGTTAAGGGAGGAGGAAGGACTTGCGGCCCTATTCAGAGTCTTGAAACGAACATAACCTTAAAATTTAGGTAATTTTTTGCGAGGGGGGGGGAAAGGGGGGACTTGCAACTATATTCATATGGGTCATTCCATATCAAGTGTAACCAACTATTGTACTTTCCATGTTAAAAACATGGCGGCTGCAGCGAAATCTTTTTATAATATAGAAAGATATATATATATATTAATATAATTATATAATAGAAATAATCATTTAATTATTCAAATAATTAAGATTTTCTCTCACAGCTAAAAAAATTATTTAAAAAAAAAATATATATATATTGTTATAAAAAGAATTATCTCGGGTAATTTTGTGTTGATTTTCGTCTTTGCCTCTTTGTCAGTATAAAAATGAGTTCGTATATATGTATATATAGGAATAAGTGTTCTTCACGTCAATCATGATTATGCGACTTTTCAACATGCTATTTACCAGCGAGCTCTCTTCCAAGGTTCGCGCTTATAGCCCCCGAGGGGGCATTTCCCCCCCTCCACCCTCAACTTCCATCTATGCGCAGCCATAACAATAATCCTTATCCCCACATAATTGTGCCCGCGGAGGATTTATAGAGCGGGTTCGAACCAACCGCAGAACGCGTTTTCTGCGATGCTATCTAACGATCTCCCATTGAGAAAGAGCCTAGAACTTGCGAGCCACCAAGAGATGGGGATTCATTCACTTGAGTGCACAGCACATGCGAGCGCAATGTCCATTAAATCCGATTAGTCTTATAAATATTGTTTTCTTAATATAAATAATTTCATTATAGATCAAAAAAAAAAAAAAAAAAATTTTGAAAATAAATAAAAATAGAGAATAATAACTCACCATCGTGTCTGCATTTTGAAGAACGTAAATGTTCAATAATTGAATAGAGAGGTCCAAGAGGAGTCATGTTCGAATCTGTAAAAAAAAAATTGATTTCTTTTTATTTTGTTTTTTCAGTCAATTATTATAAATACAATTTCAATCTGAGAAGTAATTTTTTTTTTCTTTATTTTTCTCTCCATTGTATATAAGGACATGTAGATGTTATGAGAATCAGTATAAGATTTAAGATCATCTTACAACACAAGACCAGATTCATTTCATCTTGTCAGGTTAACGTCTTATTCATGTTACTGAAGCCTCTTGGAACTTTTTTTTTTCGCTAACCATTTTTAAAAAATAAATTTTCACAAATAATAAATTCGTACTCTCTAAATCTGAATTAGTAAAAATGTTTACTAATTTAAATTAGTGACTCACTTTTTGCTTTAAAATTAGTTAAATTTTACTAATTGTTAGTAAAAGTTACTAATAATTAGTAAAATTTTACTAATTCAGAAGCAAAAAGTGAGTCACTAATTTAAAGTAGTAATTATTTTTATTAATTCAGATTTAGAGAGTGAATTAATAAAAATTTTAATTAATTTTTGACTCAGTTTTTGCTTTTGAATTGTATATAATTAATAATCATTTAGCTAATTAAAATAGAAATTTTTTACTATCGAATTAGTAAAAGTAAATTAAGTATTAGTAAATTAGTAAACTAAAAAGTGAATCACGATTCAAATTAGTGAAAATTGTTACTAATTTAAATTTAGTTATTGTTTACAAGCTCACAGAAAATTAAAAGGCATTAAAATAAGCTGCAACACTTATTATTTTAATCCAATTTTGCTTATTTTAATCCATTTTGGTATTAAAATAATCAAAATTGGATTAAAATAATAAGCGTTGCAGCTTATTTTAATGCCTTTTAATTTTCTGTGATGACATTAGTTACTGTGGCATTAGTTACTATGGCATTAGTTACTATGGCATTAGTTACTATGGCATTAGTTACTATGGCATTAGTTACTATGGCATTAGTTACTATGGCATTAGTTACTGCGGCATTAGTTACTTTGGCATTAGTTACTTTGGCATTAGTTACTGCGGCATTAGTTACTATGGTAACAGTTAGTTACTATGGCATTAGTTATTATCACAGAAAATTAAAAGGCATTAAAATAAGCTGCAACGCTTATTATTTTAATCCAATTTTGCTTATTTTAATCCATTTTGGTATTAAAATAAGCAAAATTGGATTAAAATAATAAGCGTTGTAGCTTATTTTAATGCCTTTTAATTTTCTGTGAGGGTCAGTATTATTTTGAAACAATTGTTATATTATAATTTTTCTGAACGATTAAAAATCGAAATTTTGTTTAACACAACTGAAAATTAATTTTTTAAATTTAATTAATTTTTTTAATTTTTAATTTATTTAAAAATAGAAAATAACAATTGTTAGAAAAAATTTTGTGTCAAAAAAAAAAATTGGAATTAATAATAATTTTTTGAAAAAAAAAATATGCATACACTATGAAGAAAGAACACGATAGAAGACGGAAGTAGTATTCTGTGCCTACCACCTGTTGAGGTGGTAGTTGGGTAAGGATCAACCTCTTGTCAAGGGTAATGACATGAACGTACTTTGCATTATGAGTGCTTTTGACTATAAGTTCATCGACAAAATGTTATTCTCTACTCGAAATGAAAAAAAAAGTTATTATGCAAATAAAAAAAAAAAAATATCTGAAGAATATTTAAAGACCTTTAATATTTATATATATATATATAAAGTACATTCGAGATATCATCAGTTGTACGGAAGTCAGATCAGGACAGATGGTCGACGGCTAGTAGTACAACGCGCTAATGTGACACTAATGTCGTCTCCTTTATGTACAAGGTGAGCACTCATCTACGCGAGCGAAACAGTTTACGACCGCAATTTTTCTTTTTTTAACTCCCATTATTAGAAAAAGAATTTCAAAATTTGTATTAAAAAAAAAAATTAAATTAAATAAAAAATATTTTTAAAAATTCTCTAATGTAAATAGAAAATGAAGAATATTTTTAAAATTCCATTTAATAAGGATGAAAACATAAAAAAAAAAGTATTGAGCGCTAATGAGATGATTAGTTACAACATACGGAACTGACCATTCTACTGCGTTCTACTAATGATTCCGATCTACTGCCTCTCATCGCCCTCATAATGTAA